GCACGCAGTTTGACTCTCTCCTTCTGGTGCAATGAACTGGTACTTGCTGACAAGCCTGTGAGAATGCAATCGATTTCCAGAACCAGAAACCCAAATGCAAAGCAGCTGCCCGCATTTTTTAAGGAGTCTGATTCACAAGCCTGACAAGGTCACTGCTGCAAACTGCCCGCAGTGTCTCGGGGACCCAGGGGTGCGGCTAGGTGACCTCAGCCCTGCCATTTCCGGGGAGAGGAAGTCAAGGCCCCTGCTGCTGTTCATGCTTCTTACTGATCAGTCCCCTTGGGATCATTGCCCTCTGGGTTGAGCTTGTTGGAGTGACCCATGGGAGCGTGGGGTGGAATATTAGCACATTTTCCAGTAGCTGGGCTATGGGTCAGAAGGCATTAGCCACACCCCACTGTCATGGACAACTCACTTTGCCTGCAGTGACCCGCTGGTGCCCAGCAACTTCTATGACATGGTCCAGGTCAACTCCTCAGCTACTGTGAGCTTATGGGGCCTTTTTCCAGCATACAACATCCAGACTCTCCCCATTCTAAGCTAAAGCTAATATATGTGGGTTCTCTGTATCATCACAGCTTTTTTCACTGGAAAACAGGAGCTGGTAGGCGGCAGGACACCTGTTTGCCCCACCAAGTAGGGCCTGGCCTGAAAAGTTGGAGACATTTGTTCAGAGCTGATGAACTGGGCGTCTGAAAATGCAGGTTTTTGGTGAGTAGGCTAGTTGAGATTCTAAAGGTTCTGTTGTTAAGGAACTAACGAAGCCGGAAATGCTGCCTACTAGCTAAGACCAGGCACCCAGGGGGTGAGCCTAACACCCTCAGGGGGCCCTGATGGGGGGTGGTGCCTGGGCCAGGGACCACCCCCCACCAGGCTGCAGGAGTTCGAAGGCGAGGCAGTGAGGTGTCCTGTCTGCAACTTGCTCTCTGGGTGGGGCAGGGGCTCAGGGCCTGGGCCAAAGGCTCCGTCTCAAAGGCAGAGGTGTGCTAGTCTGTCCCGGAGGCTAGCGGGGCTGGAGCGGAGGGGTAACCTCCAGCCAGGCTCTGCAGAGCATGGCGGTGCCTACCTGCTCCACAGCAGCCTTCTCTCCCGGGGGCAGGGCGGTTCTGGAGGAGCTCTGCAGCCGGCCTCCCAGGGTTTGAAGCAAATTCTATTATCACCAGCTTTGTGACCCTAGGTGATTTGTTTAACCTGTTTTACCATCCATAATGCAAGACGCTGGGAGGGTTAAGGAGTTAATACACAGACACTGGCCCACGGTAAGTGCTTAATACGGGTTAGATATTATTATTATTGTTTTATTATTACTATTAGGGGTTGACACCTGCCTGCCTACCATCACAGGTGGCAGACATGCAGAAGGGTGACTAAGAACTGCCTACTCCAACTTCCGCCACTTGAAACTGAACCACTTGGAGCCAGGGCTCAGAGAAAATTCTTTCGTTCAAGAAGGTAGTTTGGTTTTTTGACTACAGCCACAGAGATCTGAACAAGACGTAGCTGGTCCTTGAGCTCACAGGCTAGCTAGGATCTGGATCAAGTCACTCATCTCTCTGGCCCGAGTTTTCCCCACCTGTTCTGGGTAGGGGCCGGGTGAATTCTGGAATGGCAAACTGGCTTTCTCCTTGCTGGCAGGGGCTTTCTGATGTTTATAAAGTGAGGAAATCAGGGACCTCCGGGGCTGGGTGCACAGGGCTCTTAAATTGATTAGTGATGTCTGCATGAGGCCCGGAAGAGGCGGCAGGGCACGTGGTTGGCACTCTTGCCTCCTTGGGGTCAGCCCTGTGGCCCCAATACTGCCAGCACACTAGAGTCTCCAGGGAAGGCTTACAACACCCGAGTCAGGAACACGGGGTTGGGAGCGGGGGAGGGGGAGGGGGGCAGCGTTAGTTATGTTTTTGAAAGCTCCTTTGAAAGCTCCCCGGTGATCCAAGGTGTGGCCAGGTAGCGACCAGCCGGTGCAGATGCTCTCAAGTCCCTCACAGCCATCGGCCCAGGGCCCGTTTCCACCCGCATCCTCACTAACCGGCCGTCCCTGCGCTCTGCGCTGACGGCTTTGGGCTTTCTTCCAGCGGAAATGACAGGGATTTAACAGAAGTTTGCATCGGTTTTATTGCTGGAGAGGACTTGCTTTGAAATTGGGAGGTGGATGCTGAGGGCTTGGGCTACACTCAAGGACTGGGGTGTCGGTGGCCTGTGGGGCCACACTGAAATGTCACAGTGGAAGGCTTGGAAAGCCAGACTACGCTGTGACTCCCTCCAGCTCTCTTACTGCCACTCTGTCCCCAGGGAGGGGGGAAGCCGGGACTAGGCAGAGACCCCCTGGCGTCTGCAGGAACACGTGCCCCGAACTCACAGCTGGGCCTGTGCGAGGAGCCGGGGGGAGAAGGAAGCGATGAAAGCTGATCGGGGCTGCTGGCTGGGGCAGGCAGGCTCGAGGCTTAGAGATACGCTAAGACCAGGGGCAGCCCTGGATGCCCACAGCTCTTCCAAGTTATAGTCAGGGTGGCCACGGGGAATGGCTTCTGGGAGGCCAGCCCAGCCTTAGCCCTCCACGGGCCCAGAATCCAGCCAGCTTTCCTCGGCCCCTCCCGGCAGCCCCTGGGACCCAGCCCTGGAATTCCATGAACAGGTCACGGGGACTCTGCCTCCCTGCAGGGCGCAGCCCCCCGCCAGAGCCAGAGAGAAGCAGTCAAATAACGTAGAATTCGATAATATTTTAAAATAAGCTTTATTTAGATTTTTTTTAATATTTTATATTTGCATCCATGCCTTCCAGAAACCTTTCCCACGGGAAAGGTTATTTTCATCTAAAGTTACCCATAACTCATTCTCTATGTGACGTAGTTCTCTTAAATAAATCATCCTTAGTAACTCTTAGAATTATCTCCTAATTTACAAAAAAAAAACTGAAATGAAAAGGAACTACTAAATCATGACCAGGAGTGCTTTTGATCTTAGTTTCTCATAAGTAAAGGGAAAACCATAAAAATGAACCAAATAATAAAAATTCACGGTTTGGGAGGGGGAGGGAGGATTCTCTAAATATCTCTGCAGAGAGACCCAGCTGCAGCTCCAGCTGCTCTCCCTGGCGGCCAGGCTGGTCAAACAGCTCCGCCCAGGGAGAAGGCTGCCCTGGAGGTTCCTGGCCTGCTTCCCACTCCCAGTGGGGACGGGGTTCTCTTAGAGATTTTGGACTAGGTATCCTATCCACCCTGACAGAGACGCTCTAGCATCTTATGGTCTCGTTTCTTTACGAGCTGTGAGCGGGAACACAGCTCTGGTGGTTTAGAGGGTGGTGTGAATGGAGCTGTGTTAGTGGTTAAGATGGAGTGAGAGGGACAGATTCACAGGTCAAGAGAAAGGGGAGATGGAGTTTCAGTTCCCGGGAGCCCCTGGCTGAGAAGCTCACGCCTCCTCCAATGAAAAGCGTCACAAGACACACGGTTCCTTTGCTGCTGTGGCCACGCACTCTCCAAATGTTCCCGCCTGCCCTTTCCCGGGGTGAACGGGCTCAGGCTGCAGTGACAAGTGGGAGGTGGGGGCCCCTGGGACCCCCAATTCTTTTTAGTGTGGCTAGAGGAGCCAACCAGAAAGGAGAGGGGTGGTGGTGCTAGAGGCTGTGACCCCCACAGCGTCCCCCCTCGAGAGGGGCGCCTCCCCCCATGACTTCCTGCCCTTCGTGCAGACCAGACTAAGGGTCAGGCGGACACAGAAAGGAGCCCACTCAGGCCTGTGGCCGCGCTGTGGTCAGGGGTCGGCCATCGCGCCCTGCGTTCAATCTCCCTCAAGGCCAGGCCCGAGAGGAGGTGACCGCTGCCGTGGGCACGGTGCCCACCGAGGTCAGTGACAAACAAAGGGAGAGCGAGAGAGGCTGGGGAGAGCTCTGGAAGCAAGGTGGACACACTTCCATGCAGGACCGAAGAACGTGGGGGCGGGGGGAGGTAGAGAAGGAAGAACAGAACGAGCAAGCTTTGAAAGCCAATGGTCCCTGGGTTCTGGTCACCCCAAACTCGACCTCGCAGTCTGGCAGCAGTGTGAGAAGAGAACAGACAAGTCGACAGAAACGCCCACCTCCCGCCCACCCCATGGAAAAATAGACATTCCCTTATTTATGCAATAATTTAGATAGAATAAGTTTTCTGCATTTGTGCAAATAAATTAAACGAAACAATTTTCTTCTTTTTTTCTCCATCAAGAAAGAAATAGCAACGCAATTTAAAAACTGGCAGGCCGTTAAAAAGAGCCCGTTAGAGCGCTCACAAACCCCGCCCAGACCTGGCCGTGGGCTGGGCGCGGGACAGTCTTTGCAGAGAGCCGACCTTACCCTGCTGACGGTGGCAGTTTGTGGTTAAAGTGACTTGGGCGCTGCACCCCGACACAGGGTCTGGTCCCCCGCGTTCACACTGGGAGAGGGTGGGGGGGGTGGGGCACATCAAAAACAGACCACATCCTTGGGGAGACGGGCTCCAGAAGTAGCAGTGTGGACAAGGGACATTTACAAGCACAGAGTGCACAATAATTTTGTTATTTACAAATACACAGCAGTCCTTCAAGTTTTCAAGTTTCATAAAAAGGAGGAGGGGAGGGGACAAGGGGAGGGGAACAAGCCGACGAACCAAACGTAAAGAAAAAAAATAATAAAACAGAACAAACATTGAAAAAAAAACCAAAAAGCCAAACAGAACAAAGAAACAAACTCAGGTTAACAACACAGCTGTATCGCCCCGAAGACAACAGAGTTGACAGAGTCACACACGTTTGTAGTATGTACATCAATTACAGAGGTGGCGACGCGGGACGGGGCGCGCGCGACGCGCATCGGGGCGCCCGGC